AGCAAAGAGAAACAGGTTGGGCTCAGGATGACTTCCCACGACCCCAAAGCAGCACAACTTGTGCCAGGTCCTCTCAGAGTCAGGCAGAAATGGGGTCTGGCAGCCCCTACACGGGACGGGGATCGAATTCTTCTGCCGGGACAACACGGGAGACAGGAGGTATTGGGGGATGTTGGGGACACAGGGATGATGGCAAGGTGTGATGTCACCACCCAGGCCCTGCTGTCTCACCTCTCCTGCTTCGATGTCCTCCAGAGCAGTGAGATGCAGGAGGAAGTTGTTTTCTGGGAAGGATGTCTCGGCATTGGGGATGCAGCTGTGGTTACCTGTAGGCAAGACGGTCTCTTTGCTAAATGCTTAAGTGGCTCCTGGAAACTACATCATATCCGAGTCCATCCAAGCCAGGACTGACCATTCCACAGCTAGGCAAGGGGCCACAGACCCTGGGAGAGCAGCCAGGCTCCAGGGCAGCACCCATCCCATTCCATCCCAAGGCTGGGAAGCACAAACCCCTTTCTCCAGAGGCTTTTAGGAAGAGGTGAACCAGCCTAGCACAGGACATTTCCCTCCTCACTCTAAGTTTTCCTCCCAGTCCTCATGTTACTTACAGCAGCTCTGGAGCACGTAGAGCCCTGATCCCTCGCAGTTGAGGAACTCTCCAGACTCTGCATTACAGAGAGGTGGTGTTAGAGCTTTACACAGACCATTCCAGCTCTTCCACATGGGAGCACAGAGGGATTTGCAGCAACATGGAATGCACTGTCTTGGTTTTAAGACCCAGCCAGGGCTGCTTTGGGGCCAGGTGTGTGAGGGTGATTTCTCAAGCACCCTTCCTTCCCCATGGAAGGGGATGGAGGGCAGGAAAGTTTGCATCCCCAGGCTCCCTGTCCTGCCCCTGCATTCCCACAGACCCTCACCCTTCTCGATGTCCTTGTAGAGCTGGTCAATGAAGGCGTCCAGCTCCTCCCGCTGCAGCATCGGCAGATCCAGCGCGTCACACGCGTGGACCCACTGGCTCAG